CTCCAGCCTCCGCCGCTGGCTGCTCCGTCCCCGCCGGGGCCCGAAATCTATGGTCCGGGCCCCAGGGGCCCTGGAGACTGGAGGCCTCACTGGGTCGGGAGCACCTCGGTTCTGTGTAACCCACGGCGGCCAAGTGCACCAGCGCCCCGGGCGCGTTCGCGTTTCCAGAGCCGCCGCTGTATCTGTTTTCACACTCACCGCTGTTGACGTCGAAGCTGGTTTTCATACGCCAATGTATGGGGTTCTGGGTTCTGTTCTTAAGAGCTACCCGGAATCAATTTTGGAAGTGGCACAGGCCCTGGACATGTGTCCTTTTTCTCCTCCTTTTCCTCCTTCGTCTCCCATATTCCTCTTCTCTTCTCCGCTTTCTCTTCATCCTTACATTCTGTCATCCCGCAGGATACCTAATAAGCGACGTGGCCCCGATTTCCTTTCCGTGCGGACCCGTAGGTCGTTAGTCTAGAAGGAATGTTGGAATCATCTAGTCTGAGACGCTTCTGCTACAGCGAGGTAATGGTAGCTCAGGATGGGGAAGAGGTCGGCTGTGGTTCAGGACTACCCCAGAGAGTTAAATCCAGAACTCTTTCCTGTTCTCTCGCCTCCAGATGTGCAGGACTCGGGATCCAGCGTGAGCTCACTTGAGGAGGAACGCGTTGCTTAATAGGTTGGGCCGAAGTAAATTATTAGTAAGGAATTCATGGGATATATTTCTAGGGAAGATAATTTTTCATTTTAAGCTGTGCTTCTGTTGATTTTCAAAGTGTTACTTACAAGGTCGTTGTATCAGTATAGTTTGTAAGGAAGAGGCCGAGGGACATCTTCCCATGAGTTCTGACTCTTCCCCCCACATTGTTTCATACGTGTGAAAATATCAACATCCCTAATTAAGTCCCATTTATAGAACAGACCAGGCCATTCCAGACCAAGAAGCCTTCAGCTCAAGAATAATGAATTTTAGGCAAACCCCAAAGGGACCATTGACTGGGGACAGAGGTAGACGACCTGATCCCGGCATAGTTTCCAGCTTCCTCATTCTCTGCTACCCCGGCCGCCCCATATTCAAGCCCCTTACTCGGAGAGAGCTGCTTTGGCACTTCCGAGCAAACAGCCCCGCTCAGGTCTTTATCACAAATAAAGCCTGCCCTTGCTACAGATCTTTCTCTCCTCTGTTTCTTACATAGTTTCTCCTGATTTGAGAAGCCTGCCAAGTCAGTCTGAGCGAAACCTAGAGTCGTAGACTGTTGGTTTGCCAGATTTATATTCCGGGTCTCTTCCTATGAGTGTTGTCTATCACTTTAGTCAGAACCCAGAGTGCAAGGTCTGATACTTTAACCTTCCCCTCTTCATTCTTCAGTTTAGTCCCCCACCCCACCCCTTGGCGCCACCTTTGGACCACCACTTGAAATGGTAGCAAATTTTGTCTTGATTGGCAAAAGGCAGATACCCCTGGCTTACCCTGCATATCTCCAGTCTGTTCATGTTCTTTCACCAGCAGTGTAGCTGTGCTGTGAGGATTTTAAGGGGATGAGTGAAGAGGGGTTTGAGAGTGTCATTATCTGAGGGAGTGTGTGTGTGGAATCTGGTTCCCTTCTCTGTCCTTGCCTCTATGTCTTTGTCTAAAACAATACTGTGGTCAGTTGTTGGATATATTTTTTAAATTAATTAATGAATTAATGAATTAATGAATTAATTAATTAATTTTAATTAATTTCTGTCCTTGCCTCTATGTCTTTGTCTAAAACAATACTGTGGTCAGTTGTTGGATATATTTTTTAAATTAATTAATGAATTAATGAATTAATGAATTAATTAATTAATTCATTAATTAATTTATTTATTTATTTTGAGACAGGGACTCAGTATGTAGTTAAGACTGACCTGGAACTCACTGTGTAGCCCAGGCTGGTCTTGAACTCACAGAGGTCCTCCTGCCTCAGCCTCCGGAGTGCTGGGATCGCTGGCGTTCGCCACCACGCCCAGCTCTGTTGGATATATTCTTAATCATAATGTTTCGTACTTTGAAAATACTTTAGGCATGAACACTGTAGGCAGAGGCAGAAAACCTAGAACAGCAGTTCTTTTCATTTCCTAAGATATTATTAAGTACTGTTTATGAACATTTATAAAATTAATACGTTTTAAATCTTGACACATTCTGAGTATTTTCAGAGTGTACCAGACCTGACATCCCTACTGTAATTCAGTATGTGAAATTCTTGTCAGATGTACAAGTGCTTGAGGGTTCAGAGCCAGGGTGATAAGCAATTTATGTCTTTAGGTGCAGTCGGTTAGTCTATAATTATCAGTTGAACTCATCTCTTATTTCTGTCATCATCCCTACAGGCTCTACAATAAATAAAATTTTTAAGTTAGGATTTAGTTAGGGAACTCTGCTTGACTGTAATCATTCTTTATGAGTCCTCTTAGGGAAAAGGTAGAGAACTTGGAGATAACATGTTTTTGTGTTTGATTTTGAAGTTTTAAGGATTTGACAGGTTTGCTATTTTGTAAACTTCTTTTGTACTTATGATTTCATGCATTTATGTTTTTGTGGCAGGTTTAGGAAAGAGCTTGGTTGTCTTAATTTGCCAAGGAACACTGATTTGTGGTTTTCTGACTTTGTTTCAAAATACATTTAATATTAGACTTGGCAAATGTGTGATGCTATTGATAAAGGAAGTATATATTCCTTTCCCCCATGATGACTTAGAACTTAAGAAAGAAACATTTGTTAAGCATTTGAGACCTTATGTGGGTGTTGAAGAGGTACAATTCTAGCCCATAGACTTACCCATGCAGACCTAGCCTAACTTCAGAACTAATCACTTTTCTATTTGTAAAGACCTTTTCATCCACTGTTGTATTTGTCATGAATTATAAGAAATCATAATACAATTTCTTCCTTTTGCCTGTTCTGTAGCTTGATTACACACTGAGCCATGCCTCCTAACAACTGGGCTTCCAAAATATAAATGGACTTACCTGATGCTACATTCTTCAATAGTGCTTCACTTGACAAGGTCCTGTTAAGGTGATAGAACTTGGTTATTTCCATTTCTGTGTCAGAGTCTTTGGCTGTGGGGAGTTTGGTTGGAATAAATTGGCTGATATCAGGTAAATCCAAAACCAATTTGCTCATTCTATCTGCATTACCAGGAGGGGTAGGTAATCTGCTATTTGCTGTGTCTGTTCTTTAAGTAGCAGCCATTAGCATTTAACAGTTATAATTGAAGTGTATCTTGTACAAGCAGACATACTTTTGGCAAGGTCAGATACTCCCTAACAACCAAAGGAACTTATTTTAATGTGAGCTCTCTGGTTCTTTGTGAAAATCTGAGGTCATCTGTGTATCTCATTAGCATGCAGGGCCCTCGCAGGCTCCTCCCTTCCCCTTTTAATATCACCAAATTATGAGCTTATCAATTACATGTCATAGTTTAATTGGCAGCTTTTTTCTTATTATGGAAGAGGTATGACTCATACTTGATGGCATTTTAAATTCAACAAAATGTAATAGTATAAACTCACGGTCTTGGTGTTGGAATTATAGGATTTTTATGCAGATGTAAACACAGGTACAGTGATGCTCAGGAAGTGTTAGCTGTTATTACTGGGTGTCTTTACTTTCTTGTAACTCATCTTGCGTCTCCATAATTTACCTGTTCTACATTTTTCACAGTGGTGCCATCAGATTTCCTCTTGTTGCTGGAACTCAATACCTAACAACAAATTAAAGGAGAAGAGGTTTATTTTGACTCTTGTTTTAGAAGTTTCAGTTTTGCATGATGGAAGGGTCTGGGCAAAGGAAAGCTGTTCACCTCATGGTGAACAGAAGGCTGAATGTGGAAAGGGTGGAGCCTGTGAGGGAGATACACCCTTTTAGGCTACACTCCTAGTGACCTACTGCTTCTGACCAAGCTCCCTCTCCTGACAGCACCTTTAACTCTAAGCTCATCAACGGACTGGTCCATCAATGAGTATATTGACCCCATCATCCATTCACCTTCCACAGGCCATGCCTGTGAGGGTGTGAGCTTTAGGGGGATATCTAGATATAAACCGTAACACTGGGTATAGGTTGCCCCTACCTTACAGCCTTTAGGGAATTATAGAAAATGGAACAAGTAGGAACATCATTAGGTTGAACTCTGATTTCTGTAGTTGCAGTAGTTACATTTAATGTAAATGCTAAAGTAGGTCATGAAGGAATGAAACTCATTAATTGTATTTTGTACACATTTATTAATAAATGCAACTAGCCATTATATAAGCTTTATTATAATGAGCTCTCAGTGGCCTTTTTACATGAAGTGGACCAAGTCCAACCTGAGTGCAATGAGTCATTCATATTCGTGGCCAAAGACCTTTCTTAGTAATTGCAGATATTCATCGTTTCAAGACTTTAAGTTATAATTATGTAAAATAAAGGCATCTGTCTGAATAATATTATTGGTAATATATATATTTATGGTGACTTCAGAAGTTCCTGGATAGTAGAACCAAATAGTTTCTGTGGTTACTTGAGTGCTCCTGTGGTCTTTCATTTCAGAAACTCTGGAGTTGCGGCCAATGCTTATCAGGTATGGAGTAAGGCATAGGCTTTTTGCACAGGCTTAGCAACCATCCCTGCAGTTTGAAGCTTCCTTTTCACATGGTTTTGAATACAGTTTCCTCTGTTACTATTTTTCTCTTTCCTTCCCTTAGATCAGCCCTTCTTTCATTAAGTATTTATTGAGTTACAGGGTCCTGCCAGGTACTGGCCTGTAACTCTCATAGCATTTTTATAATACAGTGCTTTTATGGGCCAGCAGATGTTGTGGGGTACCAGACATAAAGTTTAGATTAGATAGACATCAGCTGTAAAGTGATTTATAAAGATTTATTATTTATATCAATGTTTACTTACATGTCTTGCTTATTGAATTGTAAGTAATTTGATATTTAGGGTCATAGCTAATTCCTTTTATAATTTCATGAAAGTGGGTAGCAGCTCAGTATTTGTGAAAAGATTAAGTTTGTCTCCACTTACAGTGTAGAAAATATGCAGGTATAAAAGTGAGTGATAACAGGAATATCCCTAAGTGCTGTTCAGTGAGAAGTGCCAAATTTTGTCAGCCTGGTACTGTTACTACTTTTTTTAAAATAAAACTTTGTGTATAGATAGACATTTCCAAGTAAACGGTAAAGGGCTAGGGATTTAGCTCAATGGCACTGTGCCTGCCTTGTAAGCACAAGGTCCTGAGTTCGATCCCCAGTACCAAAAAATAAATAATAAATAAGTAAATGGTAAACTACTTTATATTTCAATTGATTTTTAAAATGTCAAAAGAGTTATCTTTTATAGGTATTTCTAGATTAAGGAAAACTCACTTTAAATAGAAAATGGATTAACTTTCTTTCAGTATTCTGTTCAGTATTCAACACAGGCTATGAATCAATTTCTAGAACTGAGAAGTAATGAACATCTGCTTTAGGGACAAGGTTTAATAACATCTGTGTTTGTTTTCTTACAGTATTATCAGAAAATCCACCCAGCTTCTCCATCACTGTGACATCTGAGGCTGGAGTAAATGATGAAAGTAAGTCTCAAAGAATATACTTGGGGGTTTTCTGAGCTGCTTTCTCATGAGTTTCACTCATTCCACAGCTGGAATTGTGCTGGATGTGGCAGGTGTGAAGGTTCTAAAGTGCTGTTAAGGATGTATCATGAATGTTACGTGTTTGTATTCTGTATTTACTATGTCAGCGTGGCTCCTGAAGAAATGGGAAGCTAGGGTGCAGAATGGTTGGTTTTTAAAAGTGAAGCAGAAACAATAGTACAGCAGAAATGGGAAGGAGGCTTTTGTCCAAAACAAGACTTACATGCAAATATTTTTCAGTTGCGTGGAATTCCAATAAGTATTACTATTCCGTGGCTGTTTTTCATTAATACAAATATTTGCATGTTTTTTCCTCTCTTCAACTAGCAATTAAAAAACCCAGTAAGTTAAAATTTTAAAAATTAGCAAATTTGGAGTCAGGGATTTAGCTCATTGGTGCCACCACCTGCTTTGCAAGTGATTTAGCTCCATGATGCCACCACCTGCTTTGCAAATGCAAGGTCCAGAGTTTGATTCCTGGTAACAAAAAAATAGCAAATTGGATGGATAATCCAGGGGATATGGTCTTAAGTTCATTTCTGCCTTTAGTCCAGTTCTTTTAATGGAGTAATTGATAAAAACAGTATGTGAAATTGTTTCACCTGTAGATTTTTTTTTCCCATTAAATTGGTAAACCAAAATTTAATGAGGGAAATTTAATGACATCATGTGATAACCCTAAATCTGTTTAGTACCATTAAAAATAAGGTTACCATTGAGATATTTTGAAATCTGAAATTTGAAAGGATATTGGATATAGTTATCAAATTGATAATATACTCTTATAGATAGGAATCTTAATTTTTTTTTTTTTTTTTTTTTTTTTTTTTTTTTTTTTTTTTTT